AAAGATCAAAGTCTAAGTATCACAGTCACAGAACACCCAGTAAGTCCACTAGTTCCAATATGAGCTTGGGCCAGACAGCAGAAACCTGAAGAATTAGCTCTTGCTCTCAACCCCCTCCCCCAATGAATGATCACAACTTTGGAAAAGAAACTAGGGCAAAGAGGAAGGGAGCAGCTCATTTCACAGATGGTGTCAGAGCTCAGGATTTGATACACATATTCTGGCTTATAATGCCAGCGGTAGGTCCCTAGAAAGGTACAATGTATATCATAGAAAACTGAGAAGTAGGCTTCAGGCAACATTTCACCACAAAGGGGTGTTTTGAAATCTGCAATTAGATACTGACAATGTTCAGCACAAATACAAACAAACAAAATTGTAAACTAGATCATATGAAGGATGTCACACACCATGAAGAAGAATCAGTGGTAGTGGTGAAGGATCTTCTCAGCTGACGTGGAAAATCTGGTATAAAATGGTTTTTTTAGTGCTTCGTGTGATGCTACTAAGTACTTTGCAAAGACTAAATTAAATTTGAGGAATCCTAACCGCCGGCTCACACTCTTGGAAAACTGAATATCACATATTAGCATAGTAAAGATTGTGAGAAAATCCACAAAGAAAGTAATTTATCTATGTTTTATTCAATCATTCTTTTGTTTGCAGTTCTGGAGATTGGGCCCAGGTCATGTCACCTGGTAGGCAAGTGCTCTACTACAGAGCTACATCCCGAACATGAGTTTTCCATGGTTGTGGCCACCTACATGTGAAATTTACCCAACTTAACAGCTGTGAGGCTGACCAGTTTAGAAAATCTGGGTCTACAACAAGATGGAAAATAATAACAAAACAAATCAATAACAACAAAAATCATAAAACTAAAATAATGGTAATAAAACAAATATGAAACAGTAACAGATAAAAGTAAACACTATTTCATAACCAAGTCTTTGGAGTATGGGAGAATGGCTGGAGTATATAACAAATAGTATACTAATATATTTTAGACAAAGGAAGCAAGTGCAATTGAAAGAGGTGTATCTGTGGGAATACACAACAGCATATCAGAAAGGTAGGACATGGTAACAAGGGAAGTGATCTCCTAGAAAATCTTTTCGATAGAATCAGAGAACATGAAAAACTTATGCCTTGCTTTGCTGATAATTTTAATCTCTCAATAAACTGAAGATGCAGTAGGGAATAGGATTTAGTGTTGGTTTAATTTTAATAAACATGGGAAGAGTGCTTGGTCATTTAGAAATATCAGAAACTTTGGGAGAAAGCCAACTGCTCACAAAATCCAGCCTCTCTATAGTCCTGTCAGAGATATTTTAGAGAGGATTTCTTGGAAGCAACGTTACAGTAAATAATCTTTAAGTCCCTTTTGAAAACATTAAAGACTGACTTTAATACTCGACAGCTACACTAAAGAACTCCAGAGGAGTCCAGCATGAAAACTGAGCAAAAGCTGCTTTCCATAGCTGACAGCTATTCAGAAGAGACAAATAATGACACACAACAGGTAAGGTAACAAGAAAAGAAGGTGTCTCCTATAAATTTATAGAACTGTAGGAACTGAAACTATGTGGTGCTAGTACAAAAACAGATCAGTGGTACAGAAGAGATACTTTAAAAACAGGCAAAACTAGACACAACAATTTAATTTCTGATAACAGACAGAAAAGTTACCAGGAGCAGAAATCTATGTCTGTCCTCTAGAGTAGGCACTTATTTTGCATTTATAACTGGAAGGCAGCTATGCTTACCACTATACCACCAACACCACACTGTATTTACAATTGCAATAAAGAACTCATAAAGGGAATTAAAACAAAAATTTTTTAAATGAGAACTAACATTAACAGGCAAAAAACAGATCAGACAGATATTTTTAGGAAATACATTACAGGATTTTAAAAAAAAAATTTAAAGGATTAAAAGGAGTAGCAAATAACCAAATATAAATCAAGTTTTAAAACTGCCAACAGACAAACTATGAGAATAATCTGTTTACAAAGAAGAAATACAAGTAGAAAATGAAAGGAGTAAATAAGATGTGACAGACAGCTACATGTTGCTATGACAAAATATCTGAGAAAATCAATTTAACAGAAGAAAGGTTTATTGTGGCTCATGGTTTCACTTTGGGCCTATGATAAGGCAGAATATCATGGTGGGAGTATGTGACAGAGCAAAGATGCCTGACCTCATGGCAGCTGGGAAGCACAGAGAAAGGAAGGGCCAAGTGTCAACATCAAGGACATGACCCCAGTGACCTTTCTCTTACTTGGCTCCATCTCCTAAAGGCTCCACCACCTTCCAATAATGTCACAGGCTGATTACAAAGCCCTTCGCACATGGCTTTCGGTTTTTTTCATGATTTTGATCTTGAAAGAATTCAACATAAAAAAATAGTATGAACACTTTGCAAACTAGTAAATATTAAATATATACATATATTGGGAACTTAATAGACTGATACATATCAAAAAAACACATTTTCACTTCTTTTGACCTACTAGTTCTACATATAGGAATCTCCAAGGGAGATAATTTTAACTGCTGAAAAGTCCTATGCTTAAAAATGTTCACTGTAACACCATTTGCCTAAAAAAAAAAAAAAGATGAAAAAGGAAGAAGGGGCTTGCATTTACTTTATGCTTACTACATAGCGCTACAAGTTATTTTTTAAGCTATCACATCTAAGTTTCACAGAAGTTCCATAAAATAGATATGATCACTGTGTTATAGAAAAGTAAAATTATTTTGCATGGGGAGAAAGATTAAATTCTCTAAAAATCTTGGCTAATATAAGTGAAAAAGAAAGAACAACATAAATGGAAACATTTTGAATTCTGAAGTAATCTGGGGATGATTTATTTGTAATTATTTAAATTTTTAATATAAAGTATAAAGTGGAGAAATAGTTTAAATGTTGACAAAACTGCACGACAGAAAATTTTATATTCAGAAAGGCTGGAAGAAAATACATGCACATTAACCCAAAAGGACAGAACTGTATCTGAGGTCGGGCTAACAAACACAGTTGGCTCTGAGAACAAAGCCAGATGCAGTGACACTATCAGGCTGTGGAAACGAGGAAGGGAGGTCCAGAAAGACCCTGCGTGGCTCCAAGTCAGTTTAAGTAGTTCGTCTAACACAGAAGATAGAGAATGTAATTCAGGGCAGATATGGTACATCTTCTATAACGAGTGGGGCTGTAATTCTTTTCATGGTAAGTTGCTGGGAAAATCATAAATTAGTCATGGTTGAAATGTCAGAAGACTCAAAATCATAAGAAATAATGAATTATTGAGGTTTGGGCTTACTCTAGAAGTTGTACAACATGAGAGAAGAGGTAAGACAAGAGGAGAGTTATTTTTGCTGTACAAATTATAGTTTTAATTAGGCAGCTGGGAAAATAAAAATGTTTACTCTTGAGATATCAGAAATAAGTAATTGTCTAGAGCAAAGTAAATAGATCAAATTTTGAGAAAAGGGCCTTGATAAACATATATGTCTAACTCACAAAAAATTTCATATACGTATGTGCACCCCCAGTACATTTATTTAAAACTATACGGGTTTCATAGCATTTTGAATTTAATTAAATATCCTAGATATGACGCTTCATAATTTATCTTTCCTTTTTATCCTCCTTTTCCCATGTATTCTTATATTCTCTTTTATATTAAAAATAAATCATACATATTTCTATATGTATGTATATATATCCACATATATGCATATACACACATGCATTTATATGTACATATACATATAATTCAATACAGCTTAGAATTTTTCACCTATAGCAGTTATTGACAAAAGGAAAAAAGAAAAGGAAAGGAATGGAAGGGAAGGGAAAAGAAACCAAATACTTGGTCAGCTCAGCACAAAATACACAGATTTGTGGGCAAAACTTATCACAAAAGCAACTGATTTGTGTTTAATGCACACCATCCACCTCCACCTAAACTGCTAGCTAAAAGTGAACTGTTCTTCTATTACAACAAAGACTGCCACCTTTCCACTGCATTTCCCTGAGAGGACGGGAACCAGTTTTGCTTACTGCCAGAGCCCTTGCACCACAGCAGTGCCTCTATATTTGTTAACTGATTGAGTGAGGAGTGAACATGTAAATTCTATTTCTCTCTCCAGACAGAGATCAAGCCTTACCTTTTGGAAAACATTTTCCTTTAGAGGCCTAGTGACTGATCTGAAAACTACCACATTACTAGTCTATACCATTACTTAACACCAATTCAATTAATATTTTTAACTTTTATTTTCTGTAGCTATTTTTTAAACTCTTAATTTAGGGAGACATGCTCCTCAAAGATACTTATATTTGTGTACACTTACTTTAAAAGCACTTTTTTCAAAGCATATGCAAAATCTTCAATAACACAAGCTAAACTGTAAAAATGTTTCAATGATCATCAACTTGGTGATTTCTAAGCATGTTATCTATTGAGTGTGCTGTACTACTTACTATTTCCAAGTGTGGTAAACAGAAATATAGAAATTAGTGTCAAATGAGCATAGTTTCTAGATCGGTCTGTCAGTCCTCAACAAGACCCTCGTCTTTTTCTTTCTTTCCTTTTCTATAAAATGGGAACCTTATCAAGAGAAACAGCACAAATATGCATTCTGCCTGTTTTACTGTCTTACAGGGAAGACTGCAATCAAATGGAATAAATTATGTGAACAAGTCTGGCAAACTGGAATGTAACTATTAGCCATTCAATTTGTTCATCAATGCTGCACTAAGGAGAGATACTGTGTATCAGCAGCAAGGGCAGCTGCTTCTGAGAATCGTGATTGGGCGAAAGAGCAAGGTGATGAGGGAAAGAATCCCCAGCACAACCTGCCAAACATGTCCCAGTCACAAATCCCAGAGCATGTTTAACACCCGAAGTGCAGGGAGATTACCGGCACCTGTCACCCACACCAGTTGGCACTGTTGCACGCAACTTCAAAACCAGGAAAAAGCTTACCAGACACAAGCTGCTGTCCAGGCAACCCCACGGGAACCATGCCCAAATTGTTCATGGCTGTGGCCCAGGCTGTGGGATCTGTCACAGACATGTTCAGCTGAGTTGTATCTATAGCTATACTTCCCAAACCATCGGCTGCTGCAAGAAAAATAAATTCCAGCTTAGAGTCTACAGGCAAGAGCTTTCCTTTAAAGAAAATGATGCTTCTAAAAATATAAGGCTTCTTTAAGCACACTTCCAAACTTCACATACAAAAAGCACTACAACCCTACAACCTACAAACAGCAACATTGTTCTTAAGGCATAAAAAAGTGTTTCTAAGTATTTTCTAGGGAGAAACTTAATGACATGTAATTTACATTGAACACAACATGCCATTAAGGAAGTACCCCTAGAAAAAAATGAAGGACTGCTTTCTTCTCCCAAGGAAACAACACTGGCTAAGCAACAAGGTTGAGAGGCAAAGCAGCAATACTCTCCCAGTAAAGCAAGTAAGCAACTGGCTTCGTAGACTAAGGATAAATAAATGTGTCTGTTTCTAAGTATAATTCTGGACCAGACATGCCTTCTAAATATCCAATAAGAAAACAGTTGTCAAGGAGTAGTACTGGCCCTGATTGAAATTTTAAATGTTTCTTTGTAATACAATCTTTCTTTAATGCAATCCTAATTATAACAAGGAAATTCAGGTATCTACCTAGAGTGACTTTCCGAAATATTTCTTATAGGCACTGACAATCAATCAGTATTTAAAAACAATAATACACAGCTAAGATGGAATTTCCTAATTTGACTTAATGCTCTTTGATTTTTCACAAGTTCCAATGATTTCTTTTTTTCAGGGCTCTGACTTCTGGTTTGATGCCTTTTCTCAGAGCTGACTGAGGCTCTCCAGTAAGAATTTAAAATGTCACATTTACCTGCAGCCATCATCTGTGGAAGCTCCTGGGGACACTGGGTGATTTTCTCAACTCCACTTGCATCTACCATTGAGTTACAAGCATCCTGGGGAGCAAAAGTACTTTGATGGCTAAATGGAGGGTCCACTTGGAGATCATGAGACTCTGCGAAAGGAGAGAGGAGTATGGTGAGAATCCGTAATAGTTAACTGAGAGAGAACTTTATGGGCCAAACTGTTGGGTATTCAAACACAAAACTGAACCATAAAGAACAACTTCCAGTCAGGAACGGAAGGAAAACTGCTTCCTGTCATTCCCTCAGTGGCTGTCCTGTGGCTCAGTTTCTCTGAGCACTGTGAGGTGTGGGGGTCAACATGTTAGCTCACCTAGTGCTGGGCTGGCCTCAGGAAAAAGCACTGTCTGCAAGTGCATCAGTGGCTTGTCTTCGAATGAACAGCCTTCACAAATGGGGCTTATCAGTCCCCATGCAGCCTCTTCCACACACTGCACATCACTGCAGAGGGCAGACTCAGGGCGAAATGTGATTTTTTTTTAAGTTAAAAAATTAATTGATGTTGTTATTTTGGAAGATGGTCGTCTATAAAATGTATTCAAAGAGGAAAAATAGTTTGGAGGAAAATGAATAAAGGAAGAATCCTTTCACCATGGCTGAAAAAGGAGGGTATCTAAATTATAATAGTTAGGGAAGGCAGGAGAGGAGAATAGCATGCTTTCTGTAAAATGAAAAACATGTGGAGGATATTGGAGGAGCAAAGGAAAAACATTTGTTTTCTTAACTATGTGGAAAAGTAAATTTAAATAGCCAAATATGCGGCTAGGGATTTAGCTCAGTCATTCTGCTGCATGCCTCACAAGTGCAAGGAACTGAGTTCAATCGCTGGTACCAAAAAAAAAAAAAAAAAATTAAATTTAAAAAAATAGCCACA